GGCGAGTACGGGGAAGATGTGGGTGATGTGTCAGAGAGAGAGGCAGGGGTTAGACGACATCAGGCCTTGTGAATCATAGTGAGGAGTTTGGGTTTTATTCTGAGTGTGATAGAAAGCCATTGGAGATTTTTTTTTTTCAAGCAGGGGAGTGACATATTCATTTATGTTTTAAAACAGTTACTCTGGCTGTAATGTAGTGAATTGACAATAGGAGCCCAAAGTGGGATAGGAGACCAGTTAGGAATCTAATCTGTAAGAATGGGCAAGAGATGTTGATGACTTAGATTGGGCATATTGAGAAGTGTTTGGATTCAGAATTTTGAAGTCTTGGCTTTTTGGGAAGTGGGAAAATCTCAGCTGATTTAATCAAGCTCTTCAGGTCATGGCACATTTATGAGTAGTCTTTGCAATGTCCTTCTCTGTTGTTATACTTTTTTTTGTCTGTGACCTCTACTTTCCCTACTCCCTCTCCCCTAGTATACGTGTTTCTCTTGTATTTGGTATATGCTTCAGAATACATAGAGTACCTTATCTTAATTTTTTTTTTAAGATTTTATTTTTTTCCTTTTTCTCCCCAAAGCCCCCTGGTACATAGTTGTATATTCTTCATTCTAGGTCCTTCTAGTTGTGGCATGTGGGATGCCGCCTCAGCGTGGCTTGATGAGCAGTGCCGTGTCTGCACCCAGGATTCGAACTGACGAAACACTGGGCTGCCTGCAGCGGAGCATGCAAACTTAACCACTCGGCCATGGGGCTGGCCCCTTAATTTTTTAATATGTAAAATTTTTGTGGACAAAGTACTTTAATTTTATGTAAATGTTATGGTACTGTTCAGTGGTCCTCAGACTTTAACATCTGTCATAATTACCTGGAGGGCTTGTTCAAAATCAGATTGCTGAGCCTCACCCCAGAATTTCTGATTCATTAAGTCTGGGGTAGAGCCTGAAAACCTATATTTCTAACAAGTTCCCATGTGATGATGACACACTGCCCTTTGAGGTGAATGTGGCACACTGAGAACCACTGCTGTAGCTCTGTTTCTGTTGATGCTGTTTTTCGCTTGTCATTATGTTTTTAAGATCTATCCAGGTTGCTGTAAGTTCATTGCTTTCTGCCTGCTGTGTAGTATTCCGTGGCATACATCTATGACATTTTAGTTCTGTGTTCTCAATAGGGGACACCTAGATTGCCTCCAGTTTCTGTCTACAACGAACACTGCTGTGATGAACACCCTTATATAAATCCACTTATGGTCTCATGTTTTAGTTTCTCTATGGTTTGTTAACAAGAGTGGGATTGCTAGGGAAAAGGCTATATGTCTTCATACTTGAACTAACTGTTGCCAGATCACTTCAGAATAGCTGTACCATTCTGTACTCCTACCAATAGCACCTAAGATATTTCTTCACATCTGTCTTTCTCGAATTTGGTTTTATCATATCATTTTATAATATTTACCAAAATGATGGGTATAAAGTAATATTTTATTGTTGTTTCAATTAGTATTTCTCTAATTACTAATGAGATTGAGCATCTCCTCACATGTTAGCCATCCCACTCTTACAATCAGTAAGAGTTTCTCATATGACTTTTCAGCGATAGGTTAAGCGTATACTAGCATATTTACATAGCTTTTTTAAAAAATAAATGTACTTATCGCTGTATACATTGCCTTTTAAGTGCTGCTTTGTCTAGGTCTCACAGATTTTGACATGTATTCTTCTTGTTATCATTCAGTATTTTATATTTTAAGAATTCTCTGTAAGCCTAGGACAGTAAAGTAGTATGTTTTTTGTTTCCGGTCATGCAGGATTTTTTTAGAGTTAGTATTTTGTTACTGATTCTGATTAATGTAATTTGATTAGAGATCATGATCTGAATAATATTCGCTCTGGAATTTATCGAGACTCCCTTTGTGATGCAGTGCCTAATAGACTTTTGTGACTACCCCACGTGTACTCGAGAGGAAGGCATTCTCTGCTTGAACTGTTCTCTGTAACTTTGATTATTTTCGTCTGTTGAACTATGAGTTACTTTTGGGTTTCTGTCAAAATTTCCAACTACAATTATTGATTTATTTGTTTCTCACCAAATTCCTGTCACTTGTTGCTTATGTTTAGAGGCTGCATGTTAGATAGGTATATTTCATGATTAGTATTTATGATCAGTCTTCATTATTTGCAGGTTCTGCATTTGTGTATATGCCTCCTTGCCAAAATTGATTTGTAATCCACAAATCAATACACACAGTTCTTTCGAGGTCCTAGGCCCTCTCAGCAGGAGCTAGGAAATATATATGTACACTAAGCCACATACACAGAGTCACATTTTTATTTATTTATCTATCTGTATATGTCTTAAAAAGCATGAGTTCATATGATACGTCTGATTCCAGTCCAACATCACAAGGTTCATTCTAGCCTTCCCCCTCTCCTGGCTCTCATTATCTACAGTATATTCACTTGTCTGATCAATCCTAGAATACCCATAGAATAGGTACTTAACAGCCAACTCATACTGTGAAAAACAGATTGACTAGCTGGAGTTACAGTATTTGTGTACATTTCTTTGTGTCTTTAGCCTTGTGGTGTGCAGTCAGAATGTTCTTTTTCCAAAGTTACTTGGGTTAGTTCTTTTCCCCATCCCCTTCTTTGTTGCTTTTTATCTGTTTATAATACAATTAGGTTCCTTTGTTACTGTTTATATTCCATTTTGAGTTTCTTTCACATCCTGGTTGATTTAATTACTTATTTTGGGGGCACATATAAAACATTATAGTGGTTCTAGAGGTCAAAGCTATCCAAAAACCGATGCTTTGAGAAGTGTCACGCTCTCCTCATCCCTCCCAACTCATCCCAGTTCCTCTTTCTTTCCACCCCTTTCCTCTCTGCCCTGTGTAGGTTATTGGTCTTCTGATTTATCCTTCCCATTTTCTTATGCTCAAGTGAGCAGATACGTGTGTATTTCTTATATCCTCTTCTTTATTACTTAAATAGTAGTGTACTATAGATACTCTTTTGTACTTTTTGTGCTTTTTTCACTTAACAGTAAATCATGGAAATTGCTCCAAATCAGTTTATAGGGATTTCTCTCTCTTGCTCTCTCTCTCTCCTTTTTTTTTTTTGCTGAGGAAGATTAGCCCTGAGCTAACATCTGTACCAGTCTTCCCCTACTTTATATGTGGGTCACTGCCACAGCATGGCTGACAAGTGGTGTAGGTCTGTACCCAGGATCCAGACATGTGAATCTGGGCCGCCGAAGCAGAGCGTGGTAAACCCAACCACTATGCTATGGGCCTGGCCCCACTCTCATTCTTTTTTTATAGCTTCATGGTACTTCACTGTGTGGCTATATCCTAATTTTCTCAGCCTCACTCCTGTGTATGGTCATTTACATTGTTTTCAATATTTTGCTATTGCAAACAATACTGCAACCTTGTGCAGATGTTTTCTTATTGTTGGAGGTGTATCTTCAGGGTAGGCTCCTAGAAGTGGTCAAAAGTTAAGTGAATATGTAGTTTTGTCAGTTTTTACCAAATTATTTTTTTTACCGTGCAAATTATTTTTACTTTTATGTAGTCAAATTTATCTGTCTTTTCTTTTTTTGCCTCCAAATTTTGAGTCATTAGTTATAAAGTTTTTCCCCACACTGAGACTGAAGAAGAACTCACTCACATGTTTTCTTCTAGAACTTCTATGGTTTGATTTTGATACATTTAGATTCCTTATCTGTTTGTCATTTATTATGTATTATGTGAGATAGAGATCTAATGTTTTTTTAAAATGGCACCACTTGTCCCAGAGACATTTGTTAAGATGTCCATCATTACTCTAGTGATTTAGGATGCCAACTTTATTAATATACCAAATTTTTATATGTACTTGGATTAATTTTTGGACTATTTTATTTCACTGGTATATTTATCCATATATGTGCAGGTATCACTGTTTTAATTGTAGAAGCTTTGTAGTATGTTTAGACATCAGGTCGGTCTAGTCCTCCCTCACAGTTTCTCTTTTTCAGTGTTTTTCTGACTGTTTCCTGGCTGGTTTTGCATGTTTATTTTTCCATATAAATTTAAGTATCAACTTGTCTAACTCCATAAAGTAGCTTGTTGGTATTTTTGTTGGAATTGGAATGATTTTATAAAATAAATTAGGAAGAACTATAATCTTTTAAAGTTGAGTCATCCTGTCCAAGAACGGGAATGTCTTTCCATTTGTTCGTATCTACTTTTGTGTCTTTCAGGAGTGTTTTACATTTTTCCTGGTATGAGTTTGGACATTTCTTATTAAATTTATTCCTATGTGCTTAATTTTTGCTGCTGTTGTAAATGGAGTTTTTTCTACTATTGTGTCCTATTTATTGTTTGTGTGTATGAAGGCTATTGATTTTGTATGCTAATTTCATATCCTCCAAATTTGTATGCTAATTTCATATCCTCCAACATTACTGAATTCTTTTATTGTTTGAGTTAGTTTTATCATTGATTTTTCTGGAGTTTTTCAGGTTTACTATCATATCATCTGAAAATAGAGATAGTTTTATTTTTTTCTTTACCCACTCTTAAGCCTCTAATTGATTTCTTTTGTCTAATTCCATTGGCTGATACCTCTAGTACAATGTTGAATAGTGGTGGAGAGAGTGGATATCCTTGCCTTATCTCTGATTTTAGTGGGAATGTCTCCAGTGTTTCTCCATTAAGTAAAATACAGGTTTTAGGACTAAGGTATATATATGTGAGTGGCTTTGTCACAGAGTTCTGGATATTTGGCTAGAACATGGGAACAGAAATTAAAGAGAGCCTTGTATGAAAGCTACTCTCTGTGCTCTGACAGATTCCAGAGCAGCAGCATATCACATTCAAAAGCTGGAAGGTTTCATGTTTCAGCTTGAGAAAAGCAATGAGATATGCCACAAGTCATCTGAATTGACGTAAGTCATGTTTGTGCCTTATTATGGTCACAAGTAAAAATTTTATCCTTGTATTTATCTTGTAGTGTGTGCTGTTTTTATGGAGTTTAAAGATCAATCATCCTAAAACATTGTTTCTGCTTCGAGGAAATCATGAATGCAGGCATCTTACAGAGTATTTTACCTTCAAACAGGAATGTAAGTATAATTATTTCTCTCAATCTTTTCTAGTTACTCTTTAGCCAGTCCCAAAGTGAGTTTATGTTCATAAAGAGAAAAGAAACTAATGGAACTCAGATGCTTTCTGTTCTTTTTTTTTTTCTGGTAAGAACCAGGATTCTGCTTTTTAAGACATGTATTTTGAAAATAACTTTTGGGTTTTCCCACTATGTTTATAAAGTAGTACATTTGGTACATTTGGAAAGCATAGGAAAGAAGATAGAAATTGTCCACAGTCATGCCAGTTAAAGATAATCACACTGGGGCTGGCCCCGTGGCCGAGCGGTTAAGCTCGCGCGCTCCGCTGCAGGCTGCCCAGTGTTTCGTTAGTTTGAATCCTGGGCGCGGACATGGCACTGCTCATCAGACCATGCTGAGGCAGCGTCCCACATGCCAACTAGAAGGACCCACAACGAAGAATATGCAACTATGTACTGGGGGGCTTTGGGGAGAAAAAGGAAAAAATAAACTCTTTGGGAAAAAAAAAAGATAGTCACTGTTATCTCACTATTTGGAATGTGGTCTTCTGTTCTTTTCTGTATATATAAAAGTGTATCATGAAATAGTTCAAATACATACATATCTGAGTGTATTTTTTAAATAAAATTGGACCTATATGTACTGTTTAATAAATTACTCTTTTCACTTTATAAAATGGCGTTTTTCCATATCATTAAATATTTTTGAATGTGATTTAACAATGTTATTTTAATGTTTTTAAAGTATTCCACCTTAGGAATGCACCATCATGTATGTAGGCAGTTTACTAACAACTGCAGGACATTTAGGTTGTTTCTAACTATAAATAATACTGTAATAGTACAAAGTTTATTATTAAAGGTAGAATTTTTGTGAAAGTCAGAATGTTACATACTAGCTGATTTAAAAAAAACCTCACAGCTTTCTTTGACCAGAATGTAGGTACTCACAATTGACTCTTAACTCACATTCGCTCTGATAGTGGCTGTACTGGAGATGTTTGGGAGAACTCGCCCCAGGGCATTTTTACTTACTGTTTCTTGTTTCCCCAGGTATCTATCTGCTTCTCAGACCTACATCCTCACTTGATTCATGTCATCACTTCACAGATTTTCTTCCCTGCTTACTTTTTCTAAATTAAAACCTCATCATTGCCACAACTAGAAGGACCCACAACTGAAATATACAACTATGTACTGGGGGGATTTGGGGGAGAGGAAAAAAAAAAAGCATGGAAAAAAAAAAAAGAAGATTGGCAAGAGTTGTTAGCTCAGGTGCCAATCTTTAAAAATAAATAAATAAATAAAACCTCATCATTGTACTCTCATACCCTGCTTTCTTTTAATAATATGTGTCAGCACCTGAAACTTTTCTGTTTTTAATATATAAAATTTGTGTATTTTTTATCTGTTTGTTTATTGTCTTTCTCTCCCACCAGAATTTAAGCTCCATGACAGCAGAGACATGTTTTGTTTACTGTTGTTTTCCCAGAACAGTATTAATAATTCATAGGGGATGTTTAATAAATATTATTTGAATTAGTTTGCTGAATCAATGATCATCTATAATTTGTATCTTCAGGACAAACTCTCAGAAGAGAATTACTAAATCAGAGGGCGTGAACATTTTTAAAGACTTTTGATATTCTAAATAGCCTTCCAAAAGAAATGATGTATCAGTTTATACTCCAAGGAATTTTTATATTTTTATAGTGAAAGGAAAGTAAAAGAAACCCTGAAATTTAGAGATTTTATTTTTCCTTTTTCTCCCCAAAGCCCCCCGGTACATAATTGTGTATTTTTAGTTGTGGGTCCTTCTAGCTGTGGCATGTGGGACGCCACCTCAGCATGGCCTGATGAGCGGTGCCATGTCCGCGCCCAGGATCCAAACCGGCAAAATCCTGGGCTGCTGAAGCAGAGCGCATGAACCCAACCACTCAACCACCAGGCTGGCCCAAAACCCCGTAATTTAAAACAAACAAAGAAACAAAACCAAAATTATACTTTTTTAAAAAATTTCTGAGATGTTAGCATATTCTCTATAAAATAAGGAATAAATCTTTTGGGTCTTGCCTGGCTGTAAAATCTACTTCTTCCCCCAAATAATCCTGAATATGTAAAAATACTTCAGGGGCTGGCACCATGGCCTAGTGGGTTAGTTCAGTGTGCTCCACTTTGGCGGCCCAGGTTTGCAGATTTGGATCCCAGGTGTGGACCTACACCACTCATCAGCCATGCTGTGGCAGTGACCCACATACTAAATAGAGGCAGATTGGCACAGATGCTAGCTTGGGGCTAATATTCCTCAAGCAAAAAAAAAGAGGAAGATTGGGATCTGTGTCAGCATGCCTGGACTAGGTCACAACGATGGCCACCACAAATGTCTCCATCTCTGGAGAGGTCTCTCCTCTCACCAAGATGCACCCAGAGCCTACCAGAGAGCTGATGAGCTCCTCCTGTGTGATAGAGTCTACACTGGCTCCCAGATGTCCAGGATGAACCAGAGCAGACCCAGAGAGTTATGGGCAAAGCCACCTTCATCCAGTTACACCTGAGAAGGACAACAGTTATATAGATCCTTTGAGTGAACGAGGCCTGGATGAGGCATCTCAAATGCATTAAACTCACTTACTGGTCAAAAAAAAAGAGAGGAAGATTGGCAACAGATGTTAGCTCAGGGTGAAGCTTCCTCGGCAGAAAATAAATAAATAAAAATTTAAAAAAACTTTAGTGTTCATGTAACTGATAGATATTTTTTTGTGTATGTGAGGAAGATTCACCCTCAGCTAACATCCGTTTCCAATCTTCCTCTTTTTGCTTGAGGAAGGATTGTTGCTGAGCTAACGTCTGTGCCAATCTGCCTCTATTTTATATGTGGGACAAAGCCACAGCGTGGCATGATGAGCAGTGTGTAAGTCCACACCCGGATCAAACCCATGAACCCTGAGCTGCCAAAGCAGAGCACATGAACTCAACCACTACACCATCGGGCCAGCCCCTGTAACTGATATTTTGATCATGGATTTCACTTTGTGTCCTACTCGGATTTTTCTTCAGATTGTTATCTTGGAGGAATATATTGTAAAATACTTAAGGCTTTCTTCCCATGAGAATATTCAAAGTTGAAAAAAAAACCTTTTTTTTTTGTGAGGAAGATTAGCCCTGAGCTAATATCTGTGCCTGTCTTCCTCTATTTTGTATGTGGGATGCCTGCCACAGCATGGCTTGACAAGCGATACATATGTCCACACCCGGGATCCGAACCGGTGAACCCACCAGAGCAGAACGTGCGAACTTAACTGCTGCACCACCAGGCCAGCCCCGAAGAAAAACTTCTAAGGATCTGGCCCATGGTGTAGTGGTTAAGTTCATGCACTCTACTTCGGCAGCCCAGGGTTTGCAGGTTCGAATTCTGGACATGGACCTGTGTACCACTCATCAAGCCATGCTGTGGCGGCGTCCCACATACAAAATAGAGGAAGATGGGCACAGATGTTAGCTCAGGGACAATCTTCCTCAAGCAAAAAGAGGAAGATTGGCAACAGATGTTAGATCAGGGCCAATCTTCCTCACCAGAAAAACAACTTTTAAATTTGTTTTCAGAGACTCAGAGTTTATCCAGTCCTCCACAAAATCCTTTTACTTCCAGGTAGATTGCAGTTCAGTTGTGTTCCGTATGCTCTGTTAACTCTTGTCACCAGTAGCTCCCTCCATTGGAGTTGGTAGTTGTAATGACAGCCTTCCTCCTAGTAGAGCCTGTAGAGAAGGTTGTTCTTACGACAAGAAATTTTAGAGTATGAACACTTAAAAAAACTCCCTCAGGGGGCCAGCGCTGTGGTGTAGTGGTTAAGTTTGGCACACTCTGCTTCAGTGGCACAGGTTTGTAGGTTCAAATCCCAGGTGTGGACCTACACCACTTGTCAGCCATGCTATGATGATGTCTCACATATAAAGTGGAGGAAGAGTGGCACAGATGTTAGCTCAGGGCAGATCTTCCTCAGGAAAAAAAAAATCCCTCTGACAGAAAAGTCAGCCGCAAGTAGGCAAGATACAGATCATTCCAGCCCTTGGGACTTATTGGAATAAACACTTTACATCAGTAGGTAATAACCAGGAAGTTAAAAAAAATTCTATCTACTGTTGCTGAGTGTTTAAATTAGTGTAAAATATTTGAAGAACAATTTTGGAATGTCTACAAAATTTTAACCCAGCAGTTTGACTTATAGGAATTTGCCATGCAGATTGTATTGATTTTTGATGCTGCACAACAAATTACTACAAATTTTGCTGCTTAAAGCAACACATTTGTTATGTCACAGTGCTTTGGATCAGAAGTCCAGGCCCAGTGTGGCTCAATTCTCTGCTAAGGGTCTCACTGAGCTGAAATCAAGGTGTCACCAGGGCTGCAGTTCTCATCTGGAGCTTGGGGTCTTTTTCCAAGCTCACTAGTTGTTGGCAGTCTTTGTGACTATAGGATTAAGGTCCCCGTTTTCCTCCTGGTTATGGGCTGGGGAATACCCTCAGCTTCTAGAGCCTGCTTGCGGTTCCTTGCCATGTGGCTCTATGGGTGGTTCACCATATGGGTGTTTGCTTTCTTCCAGGCAGCCTGGATGCATCTTTCTGCCCTTCTCTTCTGTGTTCAGCCAGCTGGAGAAAATCCCCCCCCAAGAGAATCTCTTTTGTCATAGCAAAGTGTAATCATGGGAGTCTCAGCATATTCACAGATTCCACCCAAAGGGGGCACAGATTACACAAAGGTGTAGGTCATCTTAGAATTCTACCTACCACACTGTATACTCACAGAAAGAAAAGAAAATATGTGTGTGTAAGGATGTTCATCATAGTGTTAATTGTAATAGCAAAACAAAGAGAATCTAAATGTTAACAAGGGACTGCTTAAATAAGTTATAATACAACTGAAAAAATAGAATACTGTGCAACTGTTGAAAGATCAAGGTGGATATAGATGTTCTGATATGGAGAGATGTTCAAATATATTGT